GGGTGTGCTCATTCAGGTGTATGAAGGTGAACGAGCCATGACCAAGGATAACAACCTGCTTGGAAAGTTTGAACTTACAGGCATCCCTCCAGCACCCCGTGGTGTTCCCCATATTGAAGTCACTTTTGACATCGATGCCAATGGCATCCTCAATGTTTCTGCTGTAGATAAGAGCACAGGCAAGGAGAACAAGATCACCATCACCAATGACAAGGGCCGCTTGAGCAAGGAGGATATTGAGCGCATGGTCCAGGAAGCTGAGAAATACAAAGCTGAAGATGAAAAGCAGAGAGATAAGGTTTCCTCCAAGAATTCCCTGGAGTCTTACGCTTTCAACATGGAAGCAACAGTTGACGATGAGAAACTTCAAGGAAAGATCAACGATGAGGACAAACAGAGGATCCTAGACAAGTGCAGCGAGCTCATCAGTTGGCTGGATAAGAACCAGACTGCAGAGAAGGAAGAATCTGAACACCAGCAGAAGGAACTGGAGAAAGTCTGCAACCCTGTCATTACCAAGCTGTACCAGACTGCAGGTGGGATGCCTGGAGGAATGCCTGGCGGCTTCCCTGGTGGAGGAGCTCCTCCATCTGGTGGTGCTTCTTCAGGGCCCACCATTGAAGAGGTGGATTAAGTCAATCCAAGTAGAGGTGTAGCATTGTTCCACAGGGAAACATTTGAAGGACCCAAATCTATCAAGTTACACGGCAGTTTCAAATTCAAACTGCTACAATAAATTTACTGGGCATTCTCAATTCTTGAACATGGAACATGTGTACAGAGAGTGAAGTATTGCACTTTATAAGCACTGCATCCTAAGTGGAAAATGCAATGTCTAATAAAAATATTTAAATTGGCAAAAAAAAAAAAAGAATTTAAGATTCTCCTGTGCTACAGAGTGAGTGGAAGGCCAGTCCAAGCAATGTGACACTGCCTCAAAAAACAAAGCAAAACAAAATTAAAAATACCATCGATGCTTTAACTTTTTCTGTAATCCTTCTTGGAAATATTTATTGGAAATTACCTTCTTCTATAGTTTGGGTAAATTTTACCCAAGAACTCACCCGGGTTTGGTCCCCAAGTGATGGTGTTTTGGGGTGGTGGTGGTGGTAGATATTTTAAAGTGTAGAGCCTAGTGGGAGGTTCTAGGTCACAGGGAGACAAATCATGGAAGAGGTGGCTTCCTCTCTTTTCGTACCTGGCCATGAGTTAAGTGAGTTTTCCTCCATCATGACAGATTGTCTTGTCACAGGACTGAACCGATGGAAATGTGGGACAAGAGCTAAAACTTAAAACTCCAGGGCTAAGTCTTTCATCCTTAAAGTGTTTTATTTCGGCTATTTTGTGACAGTAATGGAAAGGTGACCAAGGAGCCATCAGATCCAGCTTGCAAGCTACACAGAAACCAGCCGGCTTGTTTATGTTGTCAGCGCTTTGACCCACTTCTGACTCCGTTACTCACATCAGCCACGCAGTCACCTTTTTTTCAAAGCTTGGTCCCAAACAAGCTCTTCAGGTACCCAAAGAGATTCTTTAAGAATGAGCATTTCACTTTTCACTGAGACCGTTCACGAGAACGAGACCTCACCTTGTGGGCACGTCAAGATGACGACGGGTGCGAATGGCCCTGAACCAGAAAAACACCGTGCATTTTGTGCTGTGCAAAGGGAAGTTATCTTTGGAGCATGATTTTTAATTAATGGAAAAGCAAAGAGGTAACCAAGTGGGAGGATGTAAATGAAAAGCCTTCAGTAAACTTCAGCTTCCCTCCGAGAGTCTTGTGGTATCTGCTGCATGGAATATGTTACATTCCCATGACACGTGACTTCAAAGTACAAACGCTTTGTTAATGATGAACACCATTTTACATTGTATTTTTCTCTATCATTAGCACAGCAATCCCCCAAACCCACCAGCCAAACCAACAACCCAAACAGCAATGAGTCCTTGAGCGACTTCGTCACATCCCTGACCACACTCGCAGCCGGGGTTCTTCTGCCAGTGGTCTGCCGCATATCCCTGCCTCCAGTAGATGCCCTCATACATTTCTGATTTATGAACTTTAGGTTTGACCTTGCTTATGTACTCTGAGATGGAGTCTTTGTGGAACACAGGGAAGACAAATGTAGTCATGCACTCTAAAATATTTCAGCTAACAACAGACCACTTTCATAATGATGGGCCTAGGAGGTTAATTTGCCTAGAGTTGTCATAGTAATTTTAATGTATTTAAGTATACTCTATGATGTTCACCCAATGAGGACCAATGCAATTCATAAACTGTATCCTTGTTAAAGAAAACAAGGAGATCTATTTCTAAGTCATAGATATAATTGAGGCCCATTGTTTCTATGGCAAAATACAAAAATAGGCATTGTTTCACAATAGAGCTATTTAAGGCAAACTTAAGTTTTAAAAGTCTGCAGAGAATTCCTAAGTGCCAGTCATCCAGAAAAAGAATATTCAAAGAATTATATCTAGACTCTAGAACCAAGAAAACGTGTTTGAAGAATTTCACAAACATCAACTTTGTGCGTTAGGTTCACTAGGGATTGTATTTGTGATGGATGCTGACTGGAGCCTTCCTAGTCATTAAAGAACGACCTTTAGGTATCCAGACCCATCTCCCCCTCGGTGAAGACAGAGCTCCTCCTCCTTGGCTTCAGAGACAGAATCATTACAGGAAAGGCTACGCATTTCTTTTGACTCCCTCCACTCCCACTATCTTTTCTGGCTCACTGAGGAGAAGATGGGTGTGGACTAGAACTGCTTCTGTCTAAACTTTGAGCCATTTGTAGGTCCAAATGTTCCCATGAGCCACTGCTATCAACAAAGCTCGCACTGCACTGACCTTACCTTCTAGATTACAATCAAATATCTCCCAGTCAGCTATGATGTCATAGCTTTGGGCAACAAGTGAAACTTGGGACTTTAAAATATTCAAGTTCTGTAGGTGACACTGAGACATGGGACCTGCTAGGGTTTTTCTTGACGCTGTATTTCCTTTCATAGCTGAGCTGTATATCTCCGTCCTCTATAGAACTGGGTCATTCCATATTGTCAATCAAGTAATGACGACTTGGCTGTTGGCATACTGAAGGATTTAGAAAGAGCTTCTCCAATGTTTTTCTGTAGAAATTTATACCCTAAGGCCCAATATCTTATTCTTGATGTATGTGACAGTTCTGTAGGTTGATTGAGGTTGAACATTGATAATTCCCATATAGTTTTCCTAAATGTCAAAAAACAATTCTCACATGTGCTTAACGAAGAAAAACACTTATTTCAGCATTGGCTGAATATAACTGAATATAATACTCCAACTCTCCATTCTAAGATAATGAATGCATTGTTCCACCATGTTTAACATGTAATGGTGAGGATAAAAATAATCAGGGTAAGGATTATTTATTAGAGTAGGCAAAATATAATTGAAGAGGTAGTTACTGTGTTGCTTCACAAAGATCCATGGCAGCTGGAGAGATGGGTCAGTGGTTCAGAGTACTTGCTGTTTTACAAAGGGCACTGGTTTCAGTCCCAACAACCACATCAGTTCAGGCAGCTCAGAACCACCTGTGATTCCAGTTGCAGAGGACTTAGCTAACATCTCCTAGTCTCCATAGGAACCTCACATGGTAAACACACCCACACGCACGCACACCCACATGCACATACATGCACATAGACACATGCATATAAATACAAATAACCGAACAAATCTTTACTGCAAAAATGAATGAATGAATGAATGAATGAATGAATGAATAAAAAGGTCCAGAGACTGGAGAAACGGCTCTTTGATTAAGAGGATGCACTGCTCGTGCAGAGGACTGGAGTTCAATTCCCTCTGCCTATTAAGATGGCTCACAATTGTCAAGAATTTCAGTTCCAGGGGCTCCATCAGCTCCGATCTCTTCAGACGCCTGCACTCACCTGCACATACCCACACATAGGCACGTACAGAGATACACACAATTAAAGGTAAAAATAAATTTAAAGCTACTAGGGATATAATGCAGTTCGGGGATCCAGCACTGGTTCACACTGCAGCTCAGGGGTCAGGCACTGGCTCACACTACAGCTCAGGGGTCGAACACTGGTTGACATTGCAGCTCAGGGGTCGAGCACTGGCTTAAATTGCAGCTCAGGGGTAGAGCACTGGTTCATATTGCAGCTTAGGGGTCAAGCACTGGTTTATATTGTGGTATGGGGGTAGAACGCTGGTTTATATTTACACAGCCCCTGTTTATATTTATACAAACTCATTCTATAGTGCCAAAAAAATTCAAAGAAAATGTAAAGAATTTTTAAATTTGCTACCATAGATATGAAAGGATATACTGTCTTAGTTGGTATTCTACTGCTGTCATAACCATGGCAACACACATACAGAAAGCCTTTAACTAGGGCTGGCTTAGAGTTTCATAGACTTAGTCTTTTTAGTCTATTACCATCATGGCAGAAGCATGAGAGCAGGCAAACAGATCTGGTTCTGCAGGGAGAGAGAGAGAGAGAGAGAGAGAGAGAGAGAGAGAGAGAGAGAGAGAGCTAGTAGGCCTGTCTGGGGCTTTTGAAACCCTAAAGCCTGCCCTGCAGTGACACACTTCCTCCAACAAGGCCACACCTCCTTATGCCTCCAAAGCTGTGCCACTCCCTGGTGATTAAGCATTCAAACCTATGAGCCTATGGGGACCATTCCTATTTAAGTCACCACAAATACTATTATTTATCTTATGTGTATTTAAATTTAATAAAACATTAATTAGAAATCTTCTTTTGTGAAACATGGTGTTTTATTTCAGAATGCTACTCTGAAAGTTAACAGTGTGTGGCTCTTTACTTTCTCTTGCAAACAATCTACTTCCTGTGGAAGCAGGTGGACCCCTGGGGCTGACTAAGAAGAGGCCACAAATGTAGAGATGCAGAATTAACAAGGAATTCGGTACTTTTAAAAAACATTTCGAGTCTCCATTTTGCATTTCCATTTTCATTTCATGCAGGAAACAAATGCTTTCACGGATGCTGGATTGCAGGCCAGCATCCTCTGGACCCATCGTCGGAGGCTCTTGAGACCCATGAAGAATGAACATCTCAGAGCGACGAGGACACAGCCGAGCTTGGATCTGCTGGAGAAAGTCGACCTTTAAGGCTATGTATTTTCCTCTTGACATTTAATTTTATGCCAACAAGGGAAACTCTCTGGCAAATTTAACCCAAATGGGGATTTCGTGTAAATGCTGCATGACATCACTAAGTCTTAGGCCTCATAGAAGGTAAGGTGTATGACTGCTATCTCTCAGTTTGGGGTGGACTTCTTGAAGCTCCTTTAGCCTGTAGGCCAGTGGCTATGTCAAATGGGGCTCCTCAGTATATCTGCTAGGTGTTTAGGGCAATGGACATCTGAAAGCCCAAGGCAACTGGCATGAATCCGACGGGGACTTATTGCTTTATATTATCGGTAAGTCCAGATGTGTGGTGGTGGCCTCTTCAGTGAGCTGTTTCAGAAGCTTTCAGGAATTAGGAATCCCAGTTCTCATCACAGGGTTTGGGCTGCAGAACTTGACGTGGTTGTCTACCCAGGCAAGCACTCACGGTCAGAAACTGTCTTTCTCAACACAGGAGATGGTGTCTACTAGGCTCTTCCTTGCTTTTTCTCAGTTCTAGTTTGATAAAATGGCCACAGGGTTATTTTACACCAGCTGGGCTTAGTCTTAGATGTTGGTCTCATAGAGAATAGGGCTGGTGTAGGAGGCCCTTCTGCATTTGTGTTGATTTCATTGGTTGAATAAAGAAGCTGCCTTGGGCCTTTTGATAGGGCCCTCCTTAGGTGGGTGGAATACACAGAACAGAATTCTGGGAGGAAGAAGGCAGACAGAGAGCTGCCCACCATGAAGCTGTCAGGTCAGACATGCTGAATCTTTCCCGGTAAGCCACAGCCTCTTGGTGACATACAGATTATTAGAAATGGATTGAATCAAGATGTGAACGTTAGCCAATAAGAGGCTAGAGCTAATGGGCAAGGCAGTATTTCAATGAATACAGTTTCTGTGCAGTCATAGCCGGGTGGGACGCAGCCCACTGCTCCTCCTGACTACATAGGGCTATGTGGAGAATTAGCAGCAACTGCTCAACAGAAGAAAGGAAAGAGCGGTGGATGCTGGGTAGACAACAACAGTGCTCACTATTGTGGCTGGGGGCGGAGCATGTTCTACGGGTTATTGGTTTCATCATAACCTTACCACTTCCACGTGCTTCTTGCCAATAGCTATACTACCTAAAATCTGGGGGCTGCTAGGTACTTTATGTGATGGCTAATTTCTGTGTCACCTCGGCTAGTTATGGACATCTAAACATTATTCTGCTTGTCTTTCTGAGGTGGTTTTGGGATGAGGTTAGCCTTTAGATGGCTAGACTATGTAACCCAGATTGCTCTGGTTAATGTTGTTGGCCTTATTCAATAAGTCGAAAGCCTGAACAGACCAAAACAGTAATGTCCCTTATGCAAGAGGATATCCTCTCTGCCTGATGGCTTTTGAATTAGAATATTATCACTGCAGAGTTTGGACTTGCTAGCCTCCATATTTGTGCAATCTATCTGTGTATCTATGTACCATCTTTCTATCTACCCTTCCTTCCTCTTTGCTCTCAGTGTCTAGAGAACCTTCACTGATACAGTGCTCATGCCTTCCATTGCCCCCAATACCCAGAAAGAAAATCTGGGACCATCACTACCTCCTGTCTGCAGTGACTTCTTAAGGTCCTAGTTCAAGGGTAAAATCAAACACCGATAGGAGAGGGGGAAATCCTCTTACAAAAGGTCTTAGTGCATCCATCTACTTCCATCATCCTAATGCTTCAAAAATATTTCACATCGTGTCTATTTTTAGAGATTCCTTTTCCCTCTCGGGGTCCATTCACTTATTAATTTGAGATTTTAGGAATATTTTCAAATTTTTCCAGAGAATATTTTCATTTTGGCAAAATCTGTGTTCTCTTTTTTTCTTATTGTGGGTCAGATGAAAGACTTGTCACACTCTTAACTATTCACTTGCTTTGGGAATGTGCTTGTGGGGTGGGGAAGGTAGGCATTTCTATGGGGGTGCTTAGATAAGGGGAGCAGTGGCTTAGGGAAAAGGAGTGGTAACCCACTGCCCGTTTTGAGAATTCGGAAGCAATGGGTCAATGGGTGGGAGGAGAACTTAATTTTGGCTCCTGCTGGGCGTGCATCCCACAAAAACCCAGCATCTGATGGCCTTTTTGTCGGCAGGGGTGAATCTCTGTCATTGTAGTTTCCCCCAGAAGAAGAGTTAGTGTTCTCCACATGAAATTTGTTCTTTAACAAAATAAGCCCCTCCAATAGCAATTACACAAGCCATCTCCCCAAGTCAGCAGCTAGGAAAGATGTTTTCTGAACTGACTTTTAAATGAGACAGGATAAGTGATATTATTTCCTAAGGTTTCATCAAGGATTCTTATAAGATCTAATTTAACTGAAAAAAGACAACCAAGTTTGATGCAACCCTCCCCCTGCACCCAAAGTATCATTTCTTTCCCTCCATTACTGAATTAAGGCTAAGAAAACAAAACTCTAGTGAAATGTTCTTTTGTAGTTTTTTTGAAACATGGTTTCTCTGTGTAATATCCCTGGCTGTCCTGGAACTTGCTCTGTAGACCAGGTTGGACTCGAACTTGCAGAGATCCACCTGCCTCTGCCTCCTGAGAGCTGAGACTAAAGGTATGTGCCACCACTGCCTAGTGAAGTGTTCTTACAGCAAAAGAACTCTTATGTCCCACTTTTGTCCAGCTGGGTCCAGTGGGAGATGCTGGTCAAGACGGACCAGACTTGGGCTCTCAACGGCTCTTTCAGATTATGCCCCTGCTGCTTCCTACTATGGCAAGCTTGTCAGAGAAATGATTTCTTTGGAAGCCAGGCCTCTGATTAGATAAAACAGGGGCAGTAGTAATATCACTCTTATTGGGTTCCTACGAAACAGGGCACATAATGTCTATGGCATCAAATGTGTTCCACCGAAGTTAGGTGAAAATGGGCCACACCTCTGTTATGACTGCAACATCAGTTTTATTGAAGGAGCCCATCATTAAATAACCAATCATTGCTGTTTGCATGCTCTGTCTCAAGGAAGCAGAACTAGGAGTGTAACACTGAACTCAAGTTCAGGTTCAAGAAGTCACGTTTACAGGTGGTTGCCTGGAAGACACGGAAAATCTGCTTTTGTTAGTGATAAAATAATAATAATAATAATAATAATAATAATAATAATAGCCTCTATTTGAAACATAACTCAGACCAGACAACCTGCAAGTGCCAAGCAAGTGGAGTTAGATGCTGTCTTGAGTATTCACAAAGAAGGCAGGAGGTTAGCCTGACTCAGCCTAGGCAGAGCAGTCTGCTCACAAAAGTAAGTAAAGGAGTTCATGCTATTCTAACTTCTCAACGGGCAAGCACACCTGAGGAAGAACAGATGTATACCTAAGAAGCTAGTCTGAAAGGAGGGTGTTTGAAAGTCAGGTAAGGAGGATCCGGGGTGTAACTCGGTTGGTAGAGTGTTTGCCTAGTCCTGGCACCATGTAGACTGGGTGAGTGGCACAGGCCTACAACCTCAGCGTTGAGAAGACAGAGACAGGAGGATCATTCTCTACTACAGGGTGAATTTGAGGCCAGCCTTGGCTTTATGAAATAAATGGAAGACACCAAGAAGATGACTAAAGGCATAGACTTAAAGAGGGAAGGTACCCCCTCCAGTGGGACAAGGAAGAGGGCAGAACAGGACCTTAGTGGCATAAAGTAGCATCGGCAAATAGCTTTGGTCTAGTCCGGAGCAGTGGATAAACTAATAAAGAAACAGGTAATTCCCTCCCCAGTAGGAAGTGTGCCCTAGATCATATGCCATCACTCCCCAGGACAGACACTCACCCCAGCTGGAGACCTGAGAACTTTGAAATGCCAAGTTTTCTAAAGGGGTTGCTTTATTTTCTCCTAGAAGAGATGGTTTCTTTTTTTTTTTTTTTCTCTCTCTCAGTGAAACAGAACTCATTTCAAAGTGATGGTCTTTTGTTTCTCTCTCTTAGGGAGTTCTCTCTCCCTTCATCTCGATGAAGTACAGAATTTTGGGATCCACAATTTGTTCTACAGGCTGTCACTGTCACGATATTGGCCCCAGCTACCTTTGATCACATTGGATCAAGGAGCTACTCTTCCAACCCAAAGCAATTGCCTCCCTCAGGGAAAGCAGGTCCTGACCGACAGCTGTGGATTTGCCACCAGGCTGAATGCCAGACTTGGGAGAAAGAACGTAGCTGAGTTTTGTTAATTGAATGATTTCAAACTCATTAGAAATGTTTTGGGTTCTACAAAAGCCAAATATGTTTGGCCTCAAGTGCTTTTTCTCCTTGGCCTTTAAACTCTGGTGCAGTTCAGGGGAAATTTAATCTGCATGTTTGGGATTCATTTACACTTAACTCACCCTTGTGTGGTTTCTCGGAGAGCTACAAATCTTTGGGGCCTATTTTTTCTTCAGTACTGAGAAGGTGAATTGTGCCCAGAGTAAATGAACTCAAATCCCTAGAGATCCGGGGTCAGCGAAAAGCTCAGAAGCTACCAAGTTAAGGTTGGTTCCTCACTAACCAGGAATGTGTCTTCCTGCTATTCCCGCGGGTCTCATGCAAGCCTCCTCCTAGCATGCTGGACGTCTTGGGATGATGTTGGCTTTGCACCCTTGCGTATCTCCCTCTCACAGCTGTTCGAGCCCCTCCAGAAATAAGAGACCCTTTCTCTCAAAACACAGACCTCGCTGCTCTTTTCAGTCCAGAGAGAAAATTCTTTTTTTTCTTGTCTTCTCTGCCAAAGGCAGAGATCCTTGATCCCAAACTCAACTTTTTCCTCATCTTGAAATGTTTAGTTTTACTCTAGAAGACAGCCAAAAATCCAGCTTCCTGCCTCCCTAGCCCTTCCTAATGCACTTCAAACATAGAGTTTACACCCCGAACTTAGAATTTTGTCAGCATTCTTGCGGTTGTCTTCGGAAACTTGTCCCTCGGAACTGTGGTTGTGTACTGGATGCCGCCCAACCCTCCCACTGTCTTGACCAAAGGCCGTGTGGCCCTGCTTTGCCGCAGATGGAGAAGGCTGATCTCTCAGTTACCCTCTGTGTGACTGGATTTGGGATCTCTTAGGAGACACACCTCTGGGCGCGTGTGTTGCTGAGGGCGCTTGCAGGGAGGACTGTCATCAAGTGCCATGCCACGGGCCTGACAAATGAATGGATGGACACCGTGTGCTAGCTGGCTGCCTCATGCCTCAGCGACCACAGCTAGAGCCACTGCGGCTGCTATACCTTCAGTGCCATGATGTACCCTCAGGCTTGAGCGTCAATAAAGCTCTGCCTGCTTGAGGTGCTTCCGTCAGGCCGTTTGTCCTAGCATAGTGGCATGTCCGTAACACACCATTGTTCTTCATTGCGGGTAAAAGCCAGACCTCAGAGGCTGCCGGCTATGCCATTCAGAAGTTAATTTTGATTGGACAGCACCAATCATGACAATCTTGTCCTTCATACAGGTGTTTGGTTTAGAAAGAGAGTCAGTTCCAATGATGCTGAGAGCGAGCATTGGGAAGAGTTCTTCATTCTCCAAGGGATCAGTTGGAGAAATGGCTCTACTTCCTACTGCTGATCCCTGTCGTGTCTCCATGTTTTTGTATATAGGTGTGATGCCTGGCACTGGGCCAGCCATCCTGAGACACTCAGGGAAGCAAGCATGAGAGGAAGTCGTGCACACCGAGGGCCACTGAATTAACCGGGACATCTCTCTCGGTGCTCAGTAGGCAGGATGATAGGTTTATCTCGCTGTTCAGAGGGCTGGGTTTTCCTGAGTCTCAGATCTGATTCACAAGCTTTCCTGGGTTGCCCTTGCTTGTGAGTGATCTGTAGTGTTGGTGCACTAGCTGTTTCTCTTCCCTTTTATCCTCTACGAGACAGGCTGGCCTCTTTCCATCCGGGGCTTACCACAGTGGGGGTTGTTTCTGTTCTAACCTATCTATCTGACATTTCTGCGCTGTCCCCCAAGCCCGGCCTCTAAATCAGTTTCTCCCTTTAAATCTTAACATGCAGCAGGCCTTTTCTCTTCAGCGTTTGATTAGCTCCCTGTGATAGCTCACATGAGGGTTGCTCTATAAAAGTGAATTATGCTGTTCTATGTTATACTGCTCTGCCCAGGGGCCCAGTAGGAATCATGGGAACCAGATGAGCACAGGGGTCAGAGGCACTGACTGCAGAGGAAGCCTGTGGAGGGACAGCAACACTGTGACCCTGGCAGGGACACATGGAAAAACTCCAGTAGTCTCCAGACTCTCGAAGGTAGAAGCCAGAAGTAAAACTCTAGTTTATGTGACAGCCTGGCAGCCCCACGGAGGGACCTAGGAGCTTCATCACTACAGATCACAGAATTTTAAATAAGTGTGATGGACCGGAAGCTGAAAACCTTGTCTTGAAAACAAAACATGTCATGGGATGTTTGCCAGCCCAGCCTTTGTGTCCAGTTTCCCTGACTCTAAAGGAGTCCCTCTATGTGATTGGAGCCAAGTTAAGAAGTTGCGGTTCTTGTCCTGAAACTAAGTCTATCGAAGCTTTAACTTACCCAACAATCAGCTTGGTGAGTACTCTATTGTAGTTGTAGAACACAGAGTTTACTCAAAGACAGCACAAGGAAGACTTCTCATCTTCCTACGGCACGTCTGCTGGACCACCTGTTCCTTTCCAGCTTGCTTGGTGCTCAGCACGTCGCAACAATACACAGCCCCCATTTCTTCCCTGTGCACCTTGTTCTCTTCTGGGATGTTCAGATATAGAAACTCCCATGTAGCTTCTCCCAGGAAGCTTTGGAGCACATGCTACGTCCCCCTTGTAACATCCCTGAATCGTCCAAGAGAGAAGTTTGGGATCCTATCCAGACTTGCACCCATCGCAACTATTCCCCTAAGTACCTGTGAGAGGACCTGGAAAGTCTTACAGTGCTCATAACTGGGCCCTAGCCACCCTGGCAGGCAGCGCTCTGTACCACTAGGTGATGCTTCAGCCCAGCCAGGCACTGTACCAACAGGGGCTAGAATCTGGAGTCTGCTCCCACCCCACCAAGCAATGGAGGCTGCCCAGACTCCACTGCTGCTCTTCTTCCACTCTGCATCATGCCCGTCTCAGGGGTATCTGCTGAACAGATGTTGCCATCGCTGCGGGAAGCCCGGAAGCCAAAACCTACAGCCGACCAGGCAGGGAGACAGACGCCAGACGCCGATTTTAAAGCAGGGGGGAAGCCCCCTCTGCCCTTTTCTGTTTCAGGAAGATTCCTGAGGTGTGGCATGCTACTTAGGACAGTTAAAGAAGTTAATAGTTGGGTGCACAGACCAAGGTTTTTCCAACTGTTTTCTTCTACTTCCTTCAACACGTCACCTCTACCTTTAGACCAGTGGTTCTCAACATTCCTAACACTGTGACCCTTTATGACAGTTCCTCATGTTGTGGTGGTCCCCAACCGTAAAACTATTTCATTGCTGCTTCATAACATATGAATCGTAATATAAATATCTGATATACAGGATACCTGTTATGTGACACCCATAGGGGTCATGGCCCACTGGTTGAGAACCACTCCTTTGGGCTAATCCCCTTCACAGCAGTGAGAGTGTAGGGGTGCTTGCAGGGTCAGAAGCAGAGGAGGAAGAGGTTGTGCCAGTCAGGTGCGCTGTTATGATCCAGGAGACCCTTCTCCCCTTCACCGTCAGAGTTTTCTTCTCTCCTTAGAACTGCATCAGGCATTCTTTGCCTTCCAGATGCTAGCAAGAGGAATGGGAGGGCTGTGGAGATCGCTTTGTTGGCAAAGTGCCTGCCTTGCAAGCAGGAGGACCTGAGCTCAGATCCCCAGTATCCAAGTCAAGAGTCTGGCACGGTGGTGTGTGTGTGTACATGGCTGCAGGGGCAAAGGTGGGCGAATCTGCTCTAGCCAGTTGGGGAGCTCTGGGTTTAGTGATCACACAAAATAAAGGGGACAGAGAAAAGGGGCTTGCACATGTGCATACTCTCACATTGCATGCATGTACATATGCACAAACCTACTATAAAGCATGAGCACACACACAGGCATGTGCAGTACACACACGTGTACACACACACGTGTACACACACACGTGTACACACACACACACACGCAGCTCTGTATTCCCATCTAGTAGTGAAGTGGCCATTCAGCAGCTTCCAGTAAGGCCTAGAGTTTAAGATTAATGTAAAAAAAACCTTGTCAACTGTGTTTAGATTAATGATGGAGTCTGATAAGAGAAAATAAATTTAATTCTGAATATAGTTATGATTACAAGCTGCTCAAACTTTGTGTTTCTCAAGACAGGGCTTGTCTGTGTAGCCCTGGCTATAGTAGAACTCCTTCTGTAGACCTGGCTGGCCTCAAATTCACAGAGACGCATCTGCTTCTGCCTCCTGAGTCTGGGATCACATGTAACTGAGGTAACTGCGCAGCCTACAGAAATGCTCTGAAGCCTGAGGGTGAATTTTGTTACTTCTTTTGTTTCATTTTAAGAAAAATCATAGAATTTCTTTGGCTTGAAAATAACGTTTTTCTCCAACTGGAAAATAACTCTTTAGGAACAAGTGTGTTTCAAGTTTTGTGTGTAATTCTACTGCAAGAGAAATGCGTCACTCTTTTTAAGATGGACGGTTATGTGTGTGAGAGAGGAGTGACACCTGTGAAGAGAAAGGGCAACTGTGTGTCATCTCTTCTCTCTTTACCTTCCTGTGCCTTCTGGGAACTGAGTTCAGGCATGCAGGAGTATCGACAGCTGCCTTTAGCCCATCTCGTTGGTCCACGGCCTTCTTTTCTGATGCTCCTGCTCTGCAAACTTTCCAGGCTGTGTGTGGGTCTTATGTTTTGTGCTCACAGAAGAATTTTGAGATTCACATAATTTCCAAACATCAACAGATCTGAGATTTATTGAATCCTGGGCAAGTTTATCTGAGGAATAACTACAGTGAGCCAGTCAGTGGGCATGTACTAACATTTAACACACTTGATTGTAAGCCTCTGCTTGGGCTGTTTATCTTCTGGTCTCCTGGGAATTAAGGGAGGATGGTGACTATGCTATAATTAGTTTTGTGACATAAAACAATACGGATTTTTGATGTATGCTATAGTTTGGTTTTCTGTGGCTGTGATAAAATATGGACCCAAAGCATCTTGGGGAAGGAAAGAGTGTATTTCATCTTATGCTTCTAGACAGTTTTTTCCTTTTCCTTTTTATAGCACTGCATACACCGTTACTTCAGACAGTCCTCATTGATCCTGCGCCATTGCCTCGGACAGTTCCTGGTCTTTCTCCTTCATAAGACTGTAAGCACACTAAGGGCTGTGTGCTGAAACCTGACAAGGAAGTATTTTACTTATGTTTTAGCTTGAATTTGTAGTGTTCCCACGGGCTCAGGCTTTTAACTTCACCTTGTGGTGCACTTCTGAAGGTTACTGGGTCTGGTGTAGGTGGGGGCCTGGAAGAGATGGGGGGTTGGGGTGGGAAGCAGCAATAGTTTACTGGGGATGGGCCTTAAAGATAATACTCACTTCTGGGGGAAATAGTTCCCTGGGGGGGGGGGTAGGCCTTAAAGGTAACACTCACTTCCTGTGGAAGTAGTTCACTGGAGGGTGGGCCTTAAAGGTAACACTCACTTCCGGGGGAAGTAGGTCACTGGAGGGCGGGCCTTAAAGGTAACACTCACTTCCGGGGGAAGTAGGTCACTGGAGGGCGGGCCTTAAAGGTAATTCTTACTTCTGGTTCTAGCTCGTGGTCTTCACCATCTAGAAAGGAGAGCAGGAAAAGCTTCAACTGCACGCTGCTCGCACTGCTACCGCATGAACTCTACCCTCCTTCTCTTCTGATGGCCTGAAGCTGCCCTGACACCATGATCACAATAAATCTCTTCTCCCTCAAGAAAAAAGCAACCACTACACAGAGGAAATAAATAAGACCAATTGTCTAATCCTTTATTTGCTTTCTTTCAGATACTGGGGACCAGTATGACAGAGAGCTAACCAGAGCCACTAGCTCTTGGCCATTATGGAAGTCATGTCTTCAGTTAAGTTTTTTGGATGTCAACGTTTTCTTGGCCATTTCACTCTAATATTCAGCTAACCTTGTTCCAGAAACTACAAAATAATCGTGACCCAACATTTGAAGCCAGTGGTTTTCAAGCAACCATAATTAGTTCAAAAGACAAGTATAAAGAATTTCAAAAAGCACACCTATGATTTCAAATTACCTGTGTTGTTCTGCTGTAATATCCCAAAGCTGTTAAGAGTGTTGGAGGTCTGGGCACAAGGGTGGGAAGTCACGCCCTGCCGGAGAGGCTACTTCCTCCGGTCAGATCAGGTGTTATCAATGTTATTGCTTGAGCAGCGCCAGCTAGCAGTGCACACAATTAAAGCAGGAACTAATAAAATGTGGGGCAGAGAAAGAACAGAGGTGCTGAACCCCTGAAGGCCTGGCTGGAATCTGAGTGTACCACGTTGAATGCCAAGGAGCGCCATGTCTGTCTGTAAAACAGGTTGACCCGTGCAGTATCCAGCCAGCGCCTGGCTACAGGAGGGGGCTGAAGGAGCAGAAGGTGCTCCCACAGCAGTAGGGCTCTAGTGACTTGTAGACTGCTGTTCCGTTCCTGTACATCATCTGCTGTAGTCCCTTTCCAAACCGGGTTCTTCTGCAGAGGGAAGGTCAGCATAGGCTCGGAAGGAAAGCCCCATCAGTGCAGAGTAAATCCTTAAGGATTGAAAAGGAGGCTGTTATTGCTGGATGGTCAGATCTTGGTTGTACTGGGACAGTCTGGGGGTGCTTACTCATGCCATGTGGGTACCCCTAAACACATCCACATGGTGGAAAGCACTGCAGTTGGCTTTTGTTCCCATCATGGGGAAGGCAAATTATTATAAAAAGGGTCAAAGAACTTTTCTCAGTGGACTATAGGGTTAGTCATCTGTCTTTAGGCAGACCATGAATTGGTTTTTTTTTTTATCATTTAAAACTTTTAAAATATTGTATTTTATTGTGTATGGGTGTGTTTTGCCTGCAAGTTTATCTGTACATTACATGTGTGCCTGGTGCCCAAGGAGACCAAAAGAGGGCATTGGGTTCCCTGGAACTGGAGTTACAGACAGTTGTGAGCTGCCATATTAGGGCTGGGAAATGAATCTGGGTCCTCTGGAAAAAAAGCCAGTACTCTTATCTACTGAGCGTCTCTCCAGCCCTTAGTACAGTAGTCAGCTGTTGGGTTGTGACTGTCACAGGGGTCACATATCATGTATTTGCATTATAATTTGTAACAGTAGCAAAATTATAGTTATGAAGTAGTAATGAAATATCTTTTTATGGTTAGGGGTTACCACAAAATGAAGAATTATATTAAGGGGTCCCAGCATTAGGAAGGTTGAGAACCATGGCCTTGGTGGATTGATTTGAAGAAGAATGGATTCTTTCATGAAATGCCTATTGGAGTCATGTGGGGCCTACATCTGAAAACAGAGTTTTCTCCAGCTGAACACCAAACACGAATCAGTCAAGACTTTAGAAAAGTGAAGATAAAGCCCTCAAACCATTTTCTTGAGGCGTGTACAGTTTTTCCTGGGAAAAGATATTAACACTTGCTTGCCGAATGCTTCAACCCCACTGCTGTCTCCTCCTGCCAATACATACGGCATCTGAATGCCTCTTTTGCATTTACACACTGTCTCTGCTCTATAGTAGCTAGTCTGGCTGTTTCCTATGAACAAGGGAGAGCCTTTATGTTGAGGACTGGAAATGCAGTTGTGTAGTTTAGAACGCTTTGGTTTTCAGCAGCTGAAAAGTGCACATCCTCCCAGTATTTCAGATGAGGTACCAGTGTTTGCACATGCTCAAGCAACCTGAGTTGGAATTACCATGAAAAACTTGCCTCTAACCACTTGGCAAAGCGCTGGCTCCTAGGCCGCTGCTTTGGCAAGTTTCCTTTGGGAAATGTTGGCGGTGTCCTAGCTTCAAGCCGAACAACGTGAATTGCAATTTGTCTCTTCTTGTTTTTAAAGACGAATGTGGAAAGGAACACTTCTGATAAGCAATAAGACAAAGATAACCTATCAGATGAAGGGGGTGAAGTGCAGAAAACCCACAATCATGTAACAAATGGACTGAAGCTAGCCAGTGTTCCATCACATCTTAAAACCCGAGCCCAGCAGCAGCACAAAGGGGTGTGTGTCTTCCTGCACCCCCAGTGAAGGCCATTTAACACTAGGAATGCTCCCAGCAGTGCGTTTCAATAAAAGTAGCCTTTCTTATGGCATTTGGGGCCTGGCTCTTTGAAAATTATACTGTTCAGTGTCTACTGAAATTGTTTGTTGTCTATAGGATGTGTATAGGATGGGCATATACATTATCCTCTGCCCTGGACTCGCTTTGAAGTGAAAGGGAGAACCATCAAGAGCTACACCAGGATCATAGGCATAAAGCCGGAGAAAGTGACCATTGTGGGAATGTGGATTCATGGAGTATGGCCATAGGGTTCTTTATTTTATATGCCACCGTGTATTATTTATGTATCTTTAACAGATGGGTAACTATGCTCTTTCATTCACTGTTGTGGTGGAACTGAGTGGAATCATGTCTATATTCCTGGAGCTAAGACCTTGCTTGGCTTCGCAGGTCTTCGGCATACACTAGCACGCACCACTACACAGACTATTGTAGGGCCCACCCAAAAATCAAAACCACCATCTGGCTCTCATCGGTTTAGTTTGTTACCAGTTTATATCCTTCAGGGCTCCATCAGTGGCGTATATGCTAGACTGCAAGATCAAAGTGAACCGGCAGAGGATTCTGGACTTTTCCATAAGGTCCCGGATTCTAGTCCTATCCTTATCAGAAGCTAACTGTGATTTTTGGCAAGCCATGTAACCTCTCTGTGTTTCCCAGGGCTTATCTCGAAGGCTGTGGGTAAGGACTATCTGATGCTCAGACCTCCAAGCTTTGTTGGGCAGATGCAGTTGGGTGATGGACAGGGAAGCCTCCTGGAAAGGACCATACACACGTGGAGCCTTATTGTTACAGGAGAGCAGAGGAGCCGTGTGACGGAGTGACAGGGCTTTCAACTCTGGCTGGCCTTGGAGAGTAGGCTTGTGCAAACAAGTGATGGAAATGAGGCCAGGAGCAGGCCTGAGTAGGATTGGGGGGCTGAGGAGAGGGGGCAGGGCTGTGGCCAGCAAGGACAGGGCAGTTGGTGGGGTTTGCCTTGTAGCTTGGCTGCCCCTGCCGTGTGCATCAGAGCAGTTCACTTGCTGCACCCTCAGTTCTAGGCTGTGCGCGTACTCACTTCTCATTAGCACGGGTATTGCTTTATTTCGCAATCCAGTAGAAATCGGAAAAACCAAACTCTCCGGACCTGGTGACATTGTATTAGGAGTAAATGAAATCGTTTATGTCCAAGTGCTCATGCTGAACTCTGAATTATAATATAAACGATGACATGAAGGCGTGAGGCTTTTAATACTGGTTATTCTAATAAAACTCGTGTTCTTCTTTCTCTGAAAAACTATTAGAACTCAGAAAATTTAATTAGAACTTTGAAAATTTGCAGAAGTAGTATTTGCTTATACAAGTTCAGATATGTCAGAAGGTTTATGGAGGGAGAAATCAACCACAATCCTGCCACCAAGAAATACCCATTAACAGCACTCTGTGTTGGAGAATGATTGTCCAGACTTTTCTGACGCTTGTATGTGGTTTTTATTTTATTTATTATTGTGTGCATATGATGTGTGTGTGTGTGAGAGAGAGAGAGAGAAACAGAGAGAGAGAGAGAGAGAGAGAGAGAGAGAGAGAGAGAGAGAGAGAGAACATACTATGGTCTATGATGCATGGGTAGGACCAGAGGGCAGCTTTTGGGAACTGGTTCCACTGTGAATTCTGCAGATCAAACTCAGGTCATCAGGCTTGTCTGGGAAGTGCTTTTACTGGCCGAACTTCTTGCTGGCCCTATAGGTTTTTAAAAGTAAAACAATTTCTCTCATTCTTTTTGAGTATGGTAATTTACATGCTGCTTAATAGAATGCTAAGCTATTTTTCTGTAGTTTATATTGTTATGGGAGGATTCAAACAACTAAGAGATTTTATAATATGAAGTGAAGATAGCAGGATGAGGTGATAAAGGACTTGGAACACAAAGGAGGAGCATCAGTAGGCCTGGTAGTCAAGGAAATTTCCCTAGAGGAAGGGCAGTCAAGACAAGACCAAAAGATGACTAGAGTTGATGCTGCAGTGTGGTACCTAGATATCCTCGAGGACCAGGATCAATTCTTCACCCAGCAGCAGGGTTGCTTTTCGATGGCATTTAGCTAATCTGTTCCTCCAGGAATCAGCCATGCTGCACAGAGCTGCCGTGTTGAAGGTCATTTCTGTCGCAGAGGAAGCCAGACTAAAGCCACCTCCTTCCTTAGCTAGGGGTGCTCTAAAGGACCACGCTAGTGCTGAAGTTCCAGACAGGTTCAGCTGAGGCCTCAGCCACCGCTTCTTGGTAATTCCACTTTCCCCTCTGCCCAGGCTTGCTGCCATTCCTCTTCACAGACATTTCGGGAGCACTGCACAACAATACAGCGTGGAGACAAAGTGTCCTCTGGTCAGCACAGGCCAGGACTGGTGTGACAGTGGGAAGTTTAGGGAGGATGTCACTTAAAGACAGAAAACTGTGTCCAAGGACATATTAGTCAGGCTTTCGCGTGAGTGACCAAATAACCAAAGAAACCAACTTGTAGGAAAAAAGCTATTTATGTTTGGATCAAGATCTATCACCCCTCTAACCGATGCACTTGAGCATCCCGGTGGCGGGAAAGTGTGTCGGTAAAGAGTTCCTTGCCTTGTGGCAGAAAGGCAGTAATAGGAGGGATCTGGGTGGTGAGGACTGGCTCCCAAGGACACATCCCCAGGGACCTACTTCCTCCAACCATGCCCAAATTTCCATTATATGCCAAATTTAACCTAAGATGTGAATCCATCCACTCAAAAAGGAGGAGCCGACTGGCTGGCAACCGGGCTCTGGTTCACGAGCCCGTGGGAGACAGAGACAGACTTTTTTGTTGGAGAGAGAATTTTCACAAATTTTGCAATGCGTGAGTAATGTCGGTAGAAAAGCAGCATGGGTCCAGAAAGAAATCCAATCTCTTAGCACAACACCTGAGAGATTGGCCCTCAGCAGAAGCCCCCAGAGACTTGCATTGGGAAGAAACACTTTCGCTTGTCTTACAAAGATCATATTAGTTGCACTATACCCAGTTAAGATGTTTCATTATCTTTACCCACTACATGTTTAGGAAGTATTTTGGGGGGCTGGAGAGATGGCTCAACAGTTAAAAGCACTGACTGCTCTTCCAGAGGACATGGGTTCCATTCCCAGCACCCACATGGCAGCTCACAATCCAGTCCAAGGGGGTCTGGAAACTTCTGGCCTCCATAAGACGCAAGGCATGCTACTGGGGCACAGACACACATGCAGGTAAAACACTAATACACATAAGAATAACTTTTAAAATTTTTTTAAAAAATATCTTAATTCATCCATCCATTCATTCGTTTGTTTGTTTTAAATGATTCTGATATAAAGGATTCTGCAGGGAGGGGGGAAGGAAACAAGACCAAGGAAGATGCAGGATGTGGTGTCTGGAGGGACAGAGGCAGGAAAGGAGACTGGCAGCTCTTTCAGGGACGTGGGTGCGCCGTGGTCTCTGTTTAACCAGACTGACGATATCACACACTGCTTCAAGTCTGCCTCCTGCACGGATAAGCACAGTCCTCAGAGTGCACCCTGGAGCACTGGGTGTCACGGTTAGTCCTTAATGCCCCTGCCTAGGCTGTCAGGCAGGATCAACTGCAGTCTGGACAGTCACATCTAAGCCTTGGGACAAGCCGGCTCATCGCGATAATGAAAGAGATCAAAGGGCTCCTCCTTGTCTGTCAGGGAGAGCAGCTTTCTCTCCCTTTACTTCTGCCCTTCACAAAAAGCAATGGTTCCAATCATTTTTCTCTCCTTCACTCGCACCTTCGCCCTTTCTTGTGGATGGGACTGTGGGAGAGGGGGACAGTTCACCATAGAGCCACTGTGTTCTCCCAAGGCTGGGTGTCTAAAGTGTTTGGGTGGGACTTCCTCATTGGACCCCCCCCCCCCCAGGAATCTATTTCCCTGCAATGATTAGAACAACCTGTGTTCTGGAATACAGTATTTAAATAGCAAGATCTGCATTGCTATCTTCTAGGAGGGTGAAGCTTAATTAACATTTGAAAATGCTTTGAGATCTTTGGATAAAAGGGAAGTGTTATTATCTCTGGAGTGATGTCGGTCACGTGACACAGGAAGTGGCTTTGAAGGACAAGGGAAACCTTTCATCAAGCAAACTCCTTGAGGTGGTTTAAGCCTGTTCGGAGTGACTCAACATGCCCCCCGTCAGCTCTCCTCAGGCTGTGAATGAAAGGAATAACTTGGCCTACAGCTTAGCAACTGCTCTCTTCGTCATTAACTGAAAGAATTTAGTAAGCTTGTATTAAATGCTCTGCAAGTTATGCAGAAGCCAGGGCATTGAGTCAGGCCATGTCCCGGAAGCACTGAGCACACTTTTAGCCAACCCTGTGATTGCTAGTGTTCTCAAATACTATAAGGTGTCACCGCCTTCTGTTTCTGTTTCTGTTTTTTTATTATTTTTTTATTTTTATTTTTTTATTTTCTGGACTCCATGCCTTTCAACCAAAGAACTCCTTCAGTGACAAGCTAACCTTACTTTCATTTTAAAGACTTAGTGAAAAAAACAAATGGATATAAACCCTTCCTGTCAACATCTGGAAGTGAAGGCGACAGACAAGGCATGTTTTGGCATCAGGAAGGCCTTCTGGGAGGTTATGTTCACCCCAAGTTGGGTACTTAGTACTGCCTCTTCCCAGCACTCCTGGACCTTAGTTTGAATGAGGTCTTCCAACCTTCCTGAAAGTTCCCTGGGGTCTGCAGTGAATAGGATGCCAAAGAGAATGCTTCAAACTTATTTCCAACTTACTTAAGGCAGGAGTGAAAAGAATTTCACCCCATCCTTCTGTTAACTTATGTGTCTTATAATGCATTCTGGAGTTGACCAAGACTCGCTAGGAAGTGGAATGAAGAAACATGGTTCATATGAGAAAGGAGGTTTTTGTTTTTTTTTTTTTTTTGAGGACTATGTCAAAGCAAAATTATTCAAGTACTTAAGGAAATTATTTTATATGGATGACTGGAGTTTTGTTATTGTTTTGTTTTTGACTTGCCTCAATATATAAGTATATGCAATATAACATAGGAGGGGAAGAAAACCAAGAAAAGGCTGTAGATGAGGGTTATAAATGTCAGATGAAAGGGACAAGGGGACAGAAGTGTAAAAGGAGTTGGGACAGGCAGGCAGCTGCGACAGGCTAGGAAGGGAAGCAGGGGTCCCTAGACACCCCCAGGAACGTCTCTATGGATGTTTTTCTGTGCCTGTGGGTAAGGAGGTTCCCCAAGGCACAGGTACACAGTATAGTGGGGTCAAGCACCAAGCTGACCTAATTAAAAGTTCACAACAGCAGCCCATACCCGAACTAGGAAGCTCCAGTCGTTGACTTTAGAAGTCCCTTCCTTGTTTGTGACCACCAGATAGGGCTTCTCTCCGGGTTATTTTATGCACCCGTGGTTTGTTTGGAAACACTTTCAGCACAGAAAGCTCTCTGGTTTTGCACGGGTGGACTAGGAAAGACTGAAAGGACACAAACTTCACCCGATCAGCAGGCAACAAGCAAACCTGCATTACAAATGTGCCGTCCTAGACTGGAGGAATGGCTCAGTGGTTTAAAGCCCATGCTATCCCTGAGGAGAATGGAAGGCCAGGTCCCTGCACCCACATGGGCGGCTCACGACTGCCTGCCACTCCAGTTTCAAGGCCATGTCCCCCTCAAGTCCTATGCTTGTACTCAAGTACAAATGCATACACAATTTAAAAAAAAAATTTAAAGAACCCTACAATTGAGTCACAAAGAAAAAATAAAATTAAAAAAAATTCACAAAATGCAACCTTTCCTGCCCCTTTATTTTCCTCCACACTGTGGGATTTTGAAATTCCTTTCTCATAGCCATTCTGTGGCACAGAACCTCTTTGCCTTGCTTTTTTTATATAATTGTGTCCAACCTTGACGGGAAGATCTGAATACTTGTTAAGTCTAAAGTTGGTAAATGATACTATTGTTTGAGAGGTGGGGATGGGTGGATGGGGGTTGGGTGGGAGCCGGGAGTTTATCTAGCAAAAAAAAAGGGGGGGGGGCAAAAATTCCCTTCTAACCAGGCTCAAATTAACTGAAATGGATCAAAGTAAACAGAGACATCTAAAAGCTTTTGTTAGTTG